CAGCTAAGCTGTGGATTCCTGGGAACCTAGATTCCTGACTGAGAGAAACTGTGAGATAATGACTCCTGTTGTTTTATTTTTTTTTTTTTTTTTGGCCGCACCACGAGGCATGTGGGATCTTAGTTCCCTGACCAGGGGTCAAACCTGTGCCCCCTGCTGCAGAAGCACAGAGTCTTAACCACTGGACCACCAGGGAAGTCCCAAAAGAATATATACGTGTGTGTAACTGAGTCACTGAGTTGTACGGCAGAGACTGGCATAACATTGTAAATCAACTATACTCCAATAAAAAATAAAATAAATTTTAAAAAATCATCCTTTCTCCCAAAAACATGAACAACAATTACTATCCTATTTTACTTTTAAGACTTCAAGAGTTTTTAAAATTAATTTTTATTGGGGTATAGTTGATTTACAACCTTGTGTTAGCTTCTGCTGTACAGCAAAGTGAATCAGTTATACATTTAAGACTTTAAGCTTTTGTTTAAGATCAAACAGCTGGCTCATGAGCATGATATGGCCTCAGAGGCAAGGAGAACATCCATCTCGCCCACTATGTTACTGTCTTCTACTTCCCTTCAAATCCATTCAAAAAAGGAAGGAAACCTCATCTTTTGCATGGTGAGCTATTTCTCACCAGGCACTCCTGTTAGAGATTCATCTATTGAAATATCGCAAAATCTATATGAAAAATAATTTTCTACTAGTATTCTGAAGTGAACTTGGAAATCCTCTCTATATGCAGTAACGAGATCCAGCAGAAATCCTGTAAATCCTAAATCGTCCCTTTGGGCAGGGAGGATTTCGCCACTGTATCAAACGGCCCAAAATGTATTAGGCTGATGGTTAAGAGTGGTACTTAAGCAAGACACTATTTCTAGTCAGCCATGAGAAACAGTAACTCGACCTAAAATTTTAAAAGCGGCTTGTTTTCAATGCCATCAGCCGATTGAACATTTTTTAGACTGGTCCTGTTATGGACAATATTGTTATGACATATGGTCACAAGGAGACCTGTATCTGCTCCTGTTTTCTGTAAAAAAAACCCTGATCAAACCCCTTCTGGAGTAGAAAGGAGATTCTGTACTGAGAAACAGAATGACCTGATGGAAGGTACCAGATATGCAGTGCCTATATATCAATACACAGAATGTGGTGCTAGGCGGTTTATACCTGTCTTCTTGCGATCCTCCCCTGAACTCGGGAAGGTGGTTTATTATAATCAGCCTCAGTTACAGATGCAGAACTGGCTGCTCAGAGTTACATAACCTGCCTAAGGTTTCCTAGCTGGTGGGGCTGCCGGAGTCCTGAGTGGGTTTGTTGACTGCAGAGCCTGGGTCCTTTCCTCTCTCCCTGACGGCCGGGAGCTGCGGCTCTCTGGACATACTGCTCATTGGGGCTCTCCTCTCCTCTAAAGAAGATCTGAAGTTCACTGTCAGCCCTTCATGGTCCCGCATCGAAGGAGCAACTGGATTTGACCCCAGAAGAGCTGGATTTGGGCTCTCGCTCTGTTGTGGCGCTTCTGCTGATAATTACCATCACCAGAAAGTGGAAACCATCACATTCTCTGTGGTTTTGACAGTCATCTTTATGAAAATTAGATCACTTACTAAGAAAAGTCAGGGTAGCCAAAAGTGAATGGTTGCAAGGAGAAACACTGCATAGTATGAGATGATCTCAAGGAGCCCTTTCTACAGCTGACTGCTGATGGAGACCTTCACGCCAGTCAGCCCAGCATCCTGGGGTGTAAGGTCAAGAAAATAACTCAGTGGGAACCGGAGCATGTGTGTGAATGCGCGCTGCCCTGAGACGTGGGCTGCTTGGTAGCAAAATGTAAAATAATGAGCACAATGTATAAGGTAACAGCCCTCCCCCTCCCCCAGGGATGCTGTGAGGATAGAAGTTGGTTATTATAACCTGTAAAAACGAACACTTGAGGGGCTTCTCTGTGGCGCAGCGGTTGAGAGTCCGCCTGCCGATGCAGGGTACGCGGGTTCGTGCCCCGGTCCGGGAAGATCCCACGTACCGCGGAGCGGCTGGGCCCGTGAGCCATGGCCGCTGAGCCTGCGCGTCCGGAGCCTGTGCTCCGCAATGGGAGAGGCCACAACAGTGAGAGGCCCGCGTACCGCAAAAAAACAAAAAACAAAAACGAACACTTGAGGCCAAACAGTTAAATATCCAATATTATGAGAGTAACTTTATAAATCAGAGAACATCAAAACAATGCCACATCATGCAGTCGTTCAAAATGACGGTAGCTATTACCCACATAATAAGCAAAGCGGAAATGTTCCTGATGCATGATATTAAAACACCACAAATGTACTTACTGATATTCTTTCTAGAATTTTAAAAGGTTTCACAATTTCTTAAATTTTCATCTCAATAGAATTACAAAAGGCTTTAAGAGAGCATACTGTTTACAGCTCCTCTCAACAGAACATCTGACTCAGAAGTGTACATGTAATTCCCCTTAAAATAAAAGGAACACCACGCATCGCAAGATATTATTTAACCCGTGTCTGAACCACCTATAATTTACTCATTAAATTTCTGTAATTTTTTATTAAAAAAGGAAAAGAATTCAAAGTACAGACATGACAGACTGTAAAAAAGACATGATTACCAGTGAGTAAATAAAACAGAAGGACACAATCATAACACAGCAAAGAAATACAAGGATCTGCAACTAGTAAAACAAAGTCTAACTGAGAGCTAAGCTATGTCGAAGAAGGCTGCTTCTATTGCTCAATTCTTCCTTTCACTCCAAGAGTACTGATAGAGAGCCTGCTTTGTGCCACACTGGGCACCGTTCCAGGGACTGAGAATACAACAGTGGACAAGAAAATTCTTGCCCTAGTGGAGCTTACAGCGTGGGGTGAAAGAAAAACAAACAAGTACATACATAAAACGTTAGATGCTGGTTAAGTACTAAAGAAAAATAAAGCAGGGGGAGGTGGTAGAAATGGGGTGGAGAAGGTGGGGGGAGTTTGTAATTTTAAATAAGGTAAACAAGATAGACCTCAATGAGATGATATTCCTGAGAAAGAAGTCAGGAAGTGAGTTCTGCAGATACCTGGGGGAAAAGCTTACCAAGGCGAGAAAAGCCAGTGCAAAGGCCCTGGGGCAGGATCGCACAGGGCATGGATGGCACAGGGTAAGAAGGCCACGTGGTTGGAGGGGGAGAATTCAAAAAAAGTAGGAGGAGGCCAAGTTATGTGGGCTTCACATTTCATGACTCACTCCAGAAATACAATTAATGATTCCTACTAAGGTAAATGCACAGAGTTTTTGTTTAGGGTGTTGACTAAAATGCTAAACTGTATGAGTGGAGGAAGGTCAGCAAGAGACACAAGCCACTGACCAAAGTAACAAATAAGAAGAAGGTATAAACTTTGCACGGTCAAGGGAAAGTCAGGAACCAGGGAAGTGGTCCAGCATCGTGTTCAGATTTACTGTGTTTACTTTATGATTATATTAGGTATTTTGCTTAATTCCAAACCTTAATATTCTGTTTCACTTCTTCCTTCCCATCATATAAAAGAAAAGCTCTCCTTTTCTTATAAAAGACAAGTCTCCATGGTCTATAGAGACTGTCACCAAATTGGAGCTCTGGTGCAGGGTTTCTCAGCCCCTATGGACATTTTGGACCAGGTAATTCTCTGTCGTGGAGGCTGTTCTTTGTGTTATAGGATGTTTAGCAGCACCTTTAGGTTCTACCCACTAGATGCCAGTAGCAACCCCCCAGCTATAATGCCCCTAACAACCAAAAATGTCTCCAGACATTGACAAGTGTTTGCTGGGGCGGGGAGCCAAATTTTGCCTGCTTGGTAATCACTGCTTTAATGTTGAATAGGTAAAAACATCAGCTCAGTGTATTAACTCTTTTTTTTAATCCAATGCGTTGATCCTAAGGCATATATCTCTTCCTAACTTCTAAACATACCCAAAGCTATTTTGCTACATATTTACATTTCAGAAAGAACTAAACTCCTCAGATGTTCCAAACACCTTCCTGTCTCAGGGCCTTTGCACAGCTGCTCCCTCTATTGAATGTTTGTCCCATGCAACTCCTACTTGTCCCTCAAGTCCTGTTAAAGCCTTAACTGTCAAGCCCCCCAGGAAGCTTTCCCATGATCCACAGCATAAGCATGTTAGGTGTTCCCATTTTTTATATGTTCTCACATATATACCCGTACTTTGTCGAAACTATCACAATTGCAATTAAATAATTATTTTGGTCATTAGTATTTAACATCTCCACCATTTCAACAAGAACCCTATCAATCTTGTTGTCTCATGTATCTCCAGAGCATTAAAAGAATTACTGTGGACTCAAATTTATATAGAAAAACATATCACTGGCCAACTTTGGTACTTTATTACTAACAAATTATTATGCACCTCACAGGCGATCAAAGTACAATGATACAGACCACCATGGCTTAATGATAAATCTCTTAGGGCAAAATCTTGACTATGAATATATTTTACTTGAGGGTACATTTTTCCCTTTTGTTAACAACAAAAGCTATGAAAAGACTGTAACGATGACAAGAGGAACAAAAAGGCCCTCTTCATTAGATGACAATGAATGAGCCACGGAACGGAGTGGCTGTAACTGAGGTCATCCTCCTGGCTCTTTTGAACTCCTTATAACATTTATTTTAACACAGTTTATTCCACACAGCATACATCATATTGTATTGCTTACTCTTGTATATCTGATAGCCGCAAATATATTTAAATTCCTCAAAGGGGTTAGTATTCTGGGATCCACAAATGAGTTTCAGAATGTCCGAGGGATGCTTGAAATCGGATGTAAAGATCTAGAAACACTTTCTACGAACAGGGTCAGGAATGTTTATACGTGTCTCAAAGGTGGCAATTTAAGACCCACCATCTCATATGATTCCATTTATTGATAAATTTAAAACTTGTAGGGATATTCCCATCATCTTTGGTCCATCTCGTAGGAAGAAAAAAAAAATTTTAGTTACCGATTTCCTCTCCTGCTTCAATTCCTGGACGTAGCGTGCTAACTCCACAGTGATCTGGGAGGTCATATTCTCGGAGATGACTTCATGCTGTCCAGCATAATCGTTCATCTCATTCAGGGTGGAAAGGAAGGCTTTACATGCTGTATACCTACAGAACAGAACGCACACCACTCCTTTTCAAACAAGGCACATCCTCTCTCACGTTGCTTCCCACCAGTGAAATAGTAATTAAAATCAGGTTAATCTGCATACAGCTCCCATAGGGTCTTGACAATTCATTACACATAAGAGGGTTCTCACCAAAATGGTGCAGAATAAATTACAACTGAAACATTTTTCATTGTGTAAAGCCAAACTGCCCTACATAAGGCAATATTTGGCTTTGTTAATAGCCCACATATAACCCCAAATACATATACGTACTATAGGTACTAATATGGATATTTAGATCTAAATTATAGATAATATTTTTGGACTTTTCATGTTAAGATGTCTTAATTGCTGTCTGAAACAGACATATTTATTGGATGAATGAGACACCTGATATTACAAAACCAAATCAAGATGTAGAGTGCATAATCCACACTTCCTGTATCTGCTTAGATTATATTCTAAGCTTTTCCTAATTACCTTAACTGAAACAATCTGGAATAGGTCTAGTGACTCAGTATAAGTTATTTGAGTAGGTTTTTATTGTCTTTCCCCCAATTTAAAAACTGGCACAGATATGAATGAGGAAGGCAACTTGTTTTTGTAGATATATTATATCTACAAAATGTATGTAGATTTCCTTTATAATCATCAATGCCATATACATATTACCACATAACAATCAATGATAAACACACCTGTATTCTTCCTCCTCCTTCGAGTTCTTTTTAGGTTGGTATTTCTTCGAAAGATTCCTAAAACAAAAAGGCAGGCATGTCACCTTATACAGAAAGATAACTGAGAAATCAGGAATGAAAGAAGTCAGTGCTTTTGTTTACAAGTTAAAAAAAGAAAAGTCACAAAATGCCCACAGCTGAAATTCATTTGTTTCCTTCCATCTTTCAGCGTGAAAGACTTGCATAGCTTTGACTCTTTTACCTAAAGGTAGAGCAAATAAGAACAGAAATGATCGCCAACTGGTCGTTTACCTGGATGTTAAGACCTGACATTATTTAACCGGAGAGGGCAGACCATGTGTTTCTATGCAACCATTATTGCTCTAAATCCAAGACAAGCATATGGACTGAGTCCAGATGTTTAAATGAAAAATCAAAGTGTCAAGGGCAGGTTTTCAAGGCTGTGTGCTGCTCTCCCAAAACCTAATGAAAACTACCTGTGAATAAGTCTTCTTGAAGGAGGTAGAGACAATATTTGGGGGGATGTTTATGCTAAGACATTTAGCAAGGAGAACTTTTAACCTGCCTAGCAGGCTTGCACTGAACACACTCAGATTAGTCAAAATTGCTCTAATCTATCTTCCTAATCCCATCTCCAGGTCAAGAATCCAGATCCTCCCCTCTACATTCTGCGTGCTTCAAGTTACACAAAAACTAAGAGGTAATCTTGAAAAAAGAAAACTCACTAACATTTGTTCCACTGATTGATTTCTTTTGGGTCCTGATTTTGGCTTCTGTAGTTAGAAGAACAGCCATAAAGGGACTTCCCTGGTGCTCCAGTGGTTAAGAATCCATCTTGCAATGCAGGGGACACCAGTTTGAACCCTGGTCGGGGAACTAAGATCCCACATGCGGCAGGGCAACTAAGCCCATGCGCCACAACTAGAGAGAAGCCTGCGCGATGCAACGAAAGATCCCATGTGCTGCAACTAAAACCTGATGCAGCCAATAAATAAATAAATTAAATAAATATTGAAAAGAAAAAAAAGGAAAACAGCCATAGATAAAGAAGATGTGGTACATATATACAATGGAATACTACTCAGCCATTAAAAAGAATGA